CTGCATGGCACGCCAGCGCGAAGAGCGGTGGAGGTAAAGGCAGGCGGGCCCAGCAGCCTGGGTTGCGGCGTGCTGGAGCGCGGTGCTGGCCATGTCGTCCACCCTCCTGCCCCACAAAACAGAGCTGCGGCTCACCTCTGGCCGTGGTACAGGCCCACCAGCCGCACCACGCAGCCGCCCGCCACCAGAACCGCCTGCTCCGCCGCCAGCAGCTTGTCGGTGCGCTCGTTGTCGCCCAGCTTGGCGGTCGGGGCTGTCAAGAACTTTGACGGCATCAAGGAGGTGGGGCGGCGGCAGACGCGGCGCCCTGTTGTGCCGCCTCTGATGTTCTTGCGTAGTTGTGTCATACAATCGTGGGGGGGCGCCTTGCCGTCTTGTGAGGAAGAATGCGAAATATGCCGCTGTACCCGCACGCTGTGACGTGCAGGTGGATGTGAAGCTGTCGGTGCGGGGCAACCCGCGTGGCCGCGGCACCGAGGCGCACCACCAGCGCGAGCAGATAGTCGAGGTCACGGTGTTCACGCTGCGGTGAGGGCTGGCAGGCTGGGGGGGCAGGGGCGGTGTCCAGCTTGGGTGCCGCCAGCTTGGGGCCTGGCCCGGTTGGTAGAGCGTGCCGTAAGCCCAGGCCGCGTCGTTTCGGCCTGCTTTGCCTGCCAGCCTGCGAAGCCCAATCCCTTCCTTGAGCGCTCGAGTCTCGTCCCTGCTCCAAAGCTGCGCTGCTGTCGTGCGCCCCGTCGCTGCAGGCACGGCGTGGTGCGCGTGGAGGAGCACGAGGATGACTTGTATGCGGCCGTCGACCTGGTGTCCGACAAGCTCAAGCGCAAGCTGGTCAAGGTGGGCGTCGGGGCGGCTGGGCAGCTCGGTGCGCAAGGCAGGGGAGACAGCATGCAGCAGCCTGCATGCATCACAGGGGCGTCGTTCGGAGGGCTGGCGGTCTACTGGGGACGGCAAATCAGGGGGGTCGGCGAGTCTGGGCGGTGCAAGCGCGTGTGCTGCCACCCGACCCGCCGCGCCTGGCCGCCCCCTTGTGCAGGTCAAGGAGCGGGCGGTGCAGAAGGCCAACTGGCCGGGCCGCGGCGGCCCCAAGGTGCGGCGCTGCGCGCGGCGCTGCGGTGCCCGCTGTGACCTGCGGGCTCACTCGTGCCCATCTGTTCCTGCGGCCTGCGCTCCTGTCTGTCT